TTCTTGGTAGTACAGAGGTGAGAAAAGGACAGGGCAGGGTGAAAGCCAATATATAAAATAAATGGAAAATATTATTTGTGTTACACGCTGCCAACACTCCTCCCCTCTCAAATGCCCATCAGTAATTTTACCAAAGAAGTGTCAATGTCACTGTTTGCAAATATTTCAAGCTTGCTTTTTTTTAGAGAGCATTTTCATAAGAAGTCTATCAATAATTCTATTTCTCCTACGAATAACAGGCATCCATGACCTTTTACTCATCTAGTGAATTTAAAAGTTCAATCAAGAATCCTGCCCTGGGCACATCTTGTGTAGCCAGGCAGTATCCCTGCTAATTTCACTGACTTTAGCTGTGGGTGGCCTGGGCTGGAGGCTCAAGGTGTGGCCCTGGTTGGGCTCAGGAGTTGTATTTAGCTTTGCAAGGCTGCAGCCTCGCCTGTGCAGAGTCAACAGAGGCTTCAGGCTTTCAAACATTTACTTAGGTGCTTTACACTGAGGCCAGCGGAGTGACTCAGAGCATGAAATGAAACACAGATGTAGGTCTTAGCAGGAGCTGAGACTTTACCTTTTGAACCAGGCCAGGCTGTGATGTACCCTGAGTGAGCTGAATAAATAGTGTTTGCCTCAGTTTGTCTAGATGTAAAATAGAGATAGCTCAGTATTGGAAAGTCCTCAAGATCCTTGGCTGGGAGTTATTATTTAAAAATTAAATTTGTCATTAAAGGACACGTTGCTAAGGGCTAAATGGAAAGAAGAAAAAGTCAAAAATATATATGGCATCCTATTTTCCATGATTTTATGCTTACGTGATTGAGTTCAAGCAAGGGGAATTACTTCTACTGGAGAAACTTCTTAGGAAAAGAGCAGAGTTAGGCTCAATTAGTAAAAACCTCTATATTCACACACTATATATAGCTGTGCTGCCTTCAAAACAGTGCTGTGAACACCTACCACTGCTGTTTGCTGCCTGCCTTTTGTCGTGCTGCCTGTGAGCTGCCTGGTTGTGGTTTCACCCTCGCTGCTGTAACCGCCAAGGGCTGATCTGTGAGCACCTGCACCAGCCCTGGGAAGGGTGAGCACTGTGGGGCAGGGGGTGAGAACATCAGAACCAGCAGCCAAAGACAAAACCAGCCTCACAAAGGCTGTGCTGGGAGGCAGATCTGCCCAGTAATGAACAGCACGGCCTCACCTGGAGGCAGGGTAAAATCTGTTGGTGAATACTCAGGGGCATTAAATTAGCACTAGTCCTGATCCTGGTCTTACTGATTTCACCCCAGGCAGGACTGTACCTGAGCCTATGTACAAAACACTGCAAAACATGTATTGTAAGTGGCAGGGGAAAATAAAGGGCTATCTAAGACCTCTGCTTATTATATGCTGTGTTCTAAAATCTAGTAATTTAAACCTCCTGTTCATTAATGCTTCAAGCAAAAAGCATCCTAATGGCATAAATTTGCCTTAATTAATTGTGACATTCTACAGTTTGCTTTATTATTTGCTGCCACTCTAGAGAGACAGGGCCATATTCTCAATTATTTGAATAAACAATATGTATTAAAATCAAGATTTTTTTCCCCCACACATACTTGTTATGGAGAACATCTCCTCTGCTTAATCTTATTATTGTGAATATACTGCCTATGTGAATAATAGGGTCATCAAAACATCTACCATTTAGTAAGATGATAGGAATATTTAAAAATGTAGCAGGTGGGAGAAGTAGATGTATTTTCTGCTTTTCTTTTTGAAAAATTGGCAGAAATTTTCAGCTTTCAAAAATGGCATTTGAAAATGTTATCCATTTAGTTGCTGAAAAAAACGGCTTTTGAATAGAGCCAGAATTTTCAACAAACTTTTTCAGGGCAAATATTTATAAGGAAGTGTTTGTTTGTTTATCACAGACATGTTAGAAGAATCTAAATATCTCATACAATTAAATAATCTTAGTCCACTTAAAATGCAAGCTATTTTTCTGTTATTCAGTAAGATATGGTGCCAGTCTTTTCAATATAGTTGGTTTTGTCGTCTTACCAGCATATTAAATATATTTTTGACTTGCATTTTGGTATTGTTTTACCTAAACAATGAAAGCCAAAGCTGGCAATCTCCTCTATTGCCATACATATGTTTCCTGCTTGGAACAAAATGTGAAACTTAATTCACCTATGTGCCAAGCCACTGGGGCAAAGCCAGGTTTGTAGAGAGATTATTTTTCTTGTTTAAACTTGTAGGAGAAACACATGCAGGCTTTCAGGCCTTTCTGAAACTCAGTAAAAGTCACCAACCTGAAATAGAAATAGCAACCTTATGGGGAGGGAGGGTGAAAATCTAATTTCGTGTTCATCTGTGTTGTGTAATTTCTTAAACTTTCCACAGGCAGTCACAGTCTGTCCTTCCCAGTGTTTGCATTAACACCATTAATTTTTTTGTGAATAGGTTCAAAATGGTAAGGAATTGCCACACTGTGATAAAAGGACACAGGGTCAAATAATACAAGACTGAATGTGCTGCTGAAAGCCCATTTTAGAAAGAGCAGTGCCCCAGTCCCGCAGCTCTTCATACATATGCACCCTCCAGGCTCAGAGAGCAGCAAAGGGGACCCTCTGAGCTTCGCTGAGCCCAACAGCCAAGGAGAAGTGGCACTGCAGGGAAAGGAGATTGTACCTTGGTGTTCAAGGAGAACGGGATTAGCCACTAACCTGTGGCCTTTCCAGACTGAACCGACTTTATTTAATGAAAATGCAAATCATCCATTGCAAATGTGTTGCGGTGTGAAAGTGAATTTACCGTGAAATTAGTTTCAGACGGGAGAAAACCAGCTGCAATTTTTCTCAGTATTGTTTCTTACAGTCCTTTTAGGCACAGCTTTCCCATTGCCTGCAGTCAGAGCTGCAGAAGCCAGGAGTGAGCACTGGAGGGATTCATCCATCAGGTTTCCCTGACATTTGGTAGTCTTGCATCAGTTAGTTCTTGTTGAGTGTATTCTGAACCACCCACAGTATTTTATGATTATAATTCTCAGGGGGTATTTTTCTCATCATTGGTCGCAGTTTACAAACGGGTTTTCCCTCCTGGATCTCTTGAAACTGATTCTCCCTCTAAAATACTTATAACTACAATCTGCTTATTTCCCTTGGTTGTAACCAGAAAATGCATTTATTATCTTGCAATATGGAAAATTTGATGCAAGTAGAACAGAGACACTCTAACCAAACCTGAAGAAGATGGGCTTGATTCTATCTCAGTACTGCCCTTCCCACCTGAACAAGTGGTTAAAATTTAAGATGTAACATACTGGATCAAGATGATAATATATTGTACTACATACAACTTAGAAAACCTGTAGCTACCACCCTTTCATGAATAATTATTCATTTAATAAAATAGTTTTAACGTGAGGAAAGCAAACAATGAGTAACATCTACTCATACAATTAATCAGGTAAGGTATGCCTACATCAGTCTGGCATTCAGCTGGAGTCAGAATTTGGGATGGGCCCAGAGTTTGTACTTGGCACTGATACAGGCTTTATCTGTGGCTGTGATACACTGCAGGAGGGTAAGCAGTTCTGTCTTAGGTTAAGTTGCCATTTCTTATATATTGTCTATAGCTGTTAAATGCCAAATATCTTACATCCTGCACATTCTGCAATTTACAGACGGTCTAATTCTGCTATAATTGATAAACCAAATAGAAAGTTTATCAACAACGGCAAGCTTCCTATTGCAATATTATTAGGAAATTGGTGAACGTGACAAGAATATCCTCAGTGTGGACTGTGACATTCCTCTAAGTCAAATCTCTTTACATCAATTCTCAGCTGTAACACCAGGCAGGAGGATTGAACTCTTAGAAATGTTAGCAACGAGATAAAACCAAACTGATTGTTTCACGGGCACAAGCCTTACTCCAGGGCATGGAAAAAAATCTGTCATCTTCAAGGATGCAGTAACACATCTAATCAGCATTTCTTCTTGTAAAGGAAGGTGTTGCTGACTGCTCAGCACCTGTCAGGACTGAGCTGATGGGAATTCGTACCCTTTATGTTATGCTGGGAGTGAATTAATTTCCCCACCAAAACGTAAGATTAACAGATAGCTCTCAAAGTTTGGGCAGTAGAGTGAGTATACTGACTCCTTCCAGGCAAACCAGGCTGCTCTGCAAGGTTTTTACAGCCACATGAGAGGCTTGGGCAGTGGTTACAGCATGTAGCTCTCTGGTTTTGGTGTCCCACACAATCCCCATGCTGCTTCCGTGCTGACACTCCAACCTACCACATGGTCTCATTACACCCCTGGGGTAAGATACTATTTGGCTTTGCAGCCTCTCGGGTTCTCGGGAAGGGCAGGGAGTATTTGCCTTTAATCTCCAATTGTTCTGCTTCCACAATGACAGCTGTGGGATGCCTTGAAATACCAATGCAAGTTTGCTGTGGCGAATTTCCTGCTATAACAACTTTCTGCAGAGTCCTGCCAAAACACTCCCTGCTCTCTTTGTGCTGATAGTCCATTGTCATGCATCGTTCCTCTTACTGAGCCACTGAATTAAGGAGCTCTTGTTTGACCCTTAAATGGAGAACACATTGTCATAGACAAGGGCGTCTCACCAGGAAAGCAGCCTTCACAATGGCAGGAAATATCTGCCAGACAAGAGAAGAGGGAGCTGGTTCAGGGGCTGCAGTGCTTGTGTGATTTTTTGACACCTGGTCTTTGCTTCACACTTCCTGTGTGACTTGGAGCAAGTTGTTTGATCATCTGAATCACTTTTGTAATTTCTCATCGGTTTCTGAAGGAATTCAGGATGCCAGTGGGATCTAGGAGCCCAGACAATTTGTTCATCTGCCCCTAAATTTCACTGCATCCCAGTCCTTAGTCCTTAGGTGGGAACTACCTGCCTCCCTGGTCTGTAGTAAGGATAATCCTACCCGATGTAACAAGACACTTTGAAGACTTGAGGATATCTAAATATAATTTCATAATAATAATAAATAAATATCTTACAGTGTGCAGCTGGCTCTCTTTGGCACTGTAAAAGCTCCACTGAATGAAGAAGTTTCCCAGCGGTGCAGAACTCGTGTAGGTGCAGAGGAGGGTGGCATTTCCACCTGTAGTGACATTCACTGTCTTCTCAGGGACAGTCACCACAACGCCGCCGACGTGGCCTGTGGGCAGAAAGTGTGGTGAGGAGAGATCACCCAAGGAGAGATCAGGCCCTGGGAGCTGTGCAGGAGTGTCTCACTCCCTGTGTTAGCAAAGGAACCCAGAGGACATGCCTAGTTGTTCTCCTTTTCAGTACAGTTTCCCTTGGGCTTTGTGTGGAAATTTCAGTGACAACAAGCTGGGAGTGGGTAAAAGCTAGCAAGCAAATAAATCCCCCAGAATACCTGTGCCCTTACAAGAAAGAATCTGAAAAAGCAGTGTTCCTAAACCCATACTTGCTCTCACTTGCAGATACTCATCTTCTCACTAAGAGCTTGTGGCTAAACCGAACCTTTCTTCTGCACTTGCAGTGCTCTCCTGTGCTTGCACTCTCATTCACAGCTGTGTCTTGACCTCTTTTCCAGTCTTTTGAGTTTTTTTTTTGCTGTTATTTTTTTACATGTCTGATCTCCTTCACTGTGGAGCACCATCACCTGTTGTCTCTTTCATTCTATGTTCTGACTGGGACTCCATGACACTGTTGGGTCCCTCAGGCTGGAGCCCAGCAGCCTTTCGCTGCTTTTCTTTTGCTAATTACTTTGTTTTTGTTTAGATTTCTTAGGGTTTACATCCAAAAGCTGTTTTTTTTCCACACCAAGCTAAGCTTTTTGAATGTGGGTTGTGCAAAGTTCAGTGATAAATTCATCAACCCTTTCTGCTGTGCTCAAAGCAGAGAGGGAGCAAACATAACCTGTGAGCCCTTCCCCATAATGTTCTGATCAGTCTTGAGTGCACAGTCATAGAAAGGAAAGGAATCAAGCACCATGTTACAGTATTTATCTGTTTCTATCCTCTGTGTAACCAGCAATGTTGACACACAGCAACAAAGCTTGAACTGTCAGAAACATGCATCTGAATTTCAGGGGTTTCAGAGGTCGCTGAGCCCAGTTTTAGAGCTGCTGTGTAAAGATTCAGAAGGAGAATATATTTCTTTTGAATGTGATGGAAAGCATAAGTCTTTTTGAGATTTCTGTGCAAAACAGGCAAGTTGAGAATTTCATCTTATAATAATGTTCATGTGGGTTTATTGCACATATTAATGATAGAGGCAAAACATGTAAAATATTCTTCTCAATGTAATATCTGTACATTTTATGTTCAGGTGCTGCTTTTGAGAGTTTAAGCAGAACCTCCAGTAATACCAAATGCTGAAATTATCAGCCCAGTGAGAGAAAACATTGTTTAAAAAGCAAACAATCTATTCTGATATTTTTAACCGTATAAATATTGCAGATTTTTCAGTTGCTACAGTATGCAAGCCTATCTGAACTCTGGGTACTATTTCCCTTGTTTGATGGCTTCAATAGTAAAAGCTCACTGCAAGGAAGAAAGGAATAATTTACTTTCCACGTTGATGGAGCTAGGATGAGAATTAGTGGGTTTAAACTACAACAAGATTTATATTATATGTGACGATAGTCTCACAGGAATGGCTGGAGACTGACCTAGATGTGTCAAACCTGCCTTGGGGAAAGAAGGGATCCCAGGGCTGGCTGCCAGTCCTACTTGTCTTGTGAGTTCACAGCAGCTTAATCCGTACTGAGATCCAATATAAAAGCTGTGTCATATTATTTTAGGTATCTCAGTTCACAGTTCTCAGCTTTAAGCATTAGTGTTGGCCAGAGGATGATAGTTTCTTGCCACACAGTTTACACGTATTTATTTTCTGCTCTTTGCAGGATTAAAGCTACGGTTTTGCAACACAGTGTCATTCTACTGAAAACATCCATTTTCCAGTCATCTGCTCCACGTATTTCCTTTATAATTCTCTGGTTTTGGAGTCAGGAGTGCCACAGAGCCTGACTGTTATAAGCTTTTTTGGAAGAAATGAATTTTTAGCAGAGACAAGCATTCTAGTTTCCATACAACTGTATATTTTGAAGAAATACAATTAATTGAAATAGGCTTCACTCTAGTAAAAAGATAAAGTCAAAACCTATAAGACTGACCTTGTCCAGTGAGCTGTTTAAAGCCAACACTAATTGCAAGATGGAGCTTTTGACTGACAGCGGAGTGAACTGGACCCACAGAGCCTGTTCCCTCATCACGGATGTTAATGGGAGTTTCGCTTTGCATTTAGTTCACTGTTTACAGTTTCTAACCCCTAATCCCATTTCATACATACAGGCCTTTTGGTTTAAATGATAAAAGTGCATGAGTAAGAACTAGCTCAGTGAAAAAAGCTAGTGTGAACACGACCACAACTTGTTTAGAACAGTTGATCCATGTCTTTCACTCGTCAATATTATGGTAAGGCCTTTTCCTTCCTACAGAGAAAGTCTTTGCAGTTAATTCAGAATCTCCCACTTTCACTGAAGTCCTTTGCAGTGTTTAATGCTCATGAAGTAAATCCAAGTTTGCTGACCTTTTTCTAGCCATGACAGAAAACCCCAGTCAGTGGCACCCATCAGTCTGGACACACTGCTAGTCTTAAATCCAGAACTTTCAAATTAGAAGACGTTGTTTTCAAAAGTATTGGTACCAACTCTGAATTACTTTTCATTTCTAAGGTAAAAATCTGTTGGGTTTCCGCCTATGTGAGAGTTAGAACACTGAAAGTCCAGGAGTATTAATGTTTAATATTTAAAATATTTCTATGGCATCCAAACCAGATAATTCCATCTTGAAAAGAACACGTGGAAGTGAACTTCCATTTTCTGTAGTGGATACAGAGGCTGTTCATCTCCATGGAACATTGGACTTAAAATGCCTGTTTCTGTATATATTAAAAGTAAAGCTTAGCACAATGAAATGTCCTTGAAACATTAATAACATATAATCTTTAATATGCCATATAATTCCTAGATTCCACAAAATTTATGTTGTCACTTAACTTCAGGGAAATCCAAAGATTATTTGCATGCTTTAAGTTAAGCATCCCCCCAAATTTTTAGGTGGCCGTGGGACTGAGTCATCATTTCCCAACCCTATTACCAAGGGCAGACAAGAGCTGAATGTGGGAAAACCCAACCTTGAAACACTTGAAAGACCCAAACGCTCCATGCAAGAGCTCTTTGCCTCTTCCTGATGTTAGAGCAAAGCATTAATCTACCAAAGCTAAAATTCTGTTCTTGAGTAAAAATCTCTTACCAGGCAATGGTCAGTTTGCAGATTTCCACAAAATGGCCTAGCAGTACAGCCATGATTTTCATTCCATCCTGAAATAAATCACCTTGAATGTTCTAGTTTGCTAGTCAGGTTCATCTGCTCTCTCACTTCAGCAAGTTCTTTAGTCCAGTGCTATTTCTATCAGTTTGTTATTCTTACCTGCGAGGACGGCAAGAATTGAAAATATCTCCAGCATCGTTGCACACATTGTCTTGACGCTGGGAGAGAAAAGAGACCAGATGCTGCTTCTGACTTCAACTGAAACTCAACTGTTTTATTTTTTTAAGTGGGTTTTTGTTTTCCTTATCAGCTGTGTATCACCACGTCAGTGAGCTGTTTCATACTCCTTTATCACGTGTGTGCCTTTCCCCGACTAGTGGTGTGACGGTTCACTTGAAACCATTTTGTGGGGCTTGAGCAACTAAGGGCTTTGTTAATAATAAACCTTTGAATCAGAGAACCCCAGGTTCCCCCACTTTTGCCAGGGCCCAGCAGTATTTGTCCACCTAAGTAATTCCACTGAGTACAAGAAAAGTATTTGTAGAGCTATTTAACAGTCAATCTGATTACCAGTGTTGGAGTCAGGCCTAATATGAATAAGGAATAATCTTTATTTCCTTTTAATGCTATAATTTGTTTTCAAAAATGGGCATGTGGTGATAATACATTGGCAGTAAATTTTCACTTTCAAACATATATCTTATACAGTTTTATACAGAATGATTACACTGGACTCAGGATTGCCTTCACATTTTCATATTGAACTCATCAATGAGAAAACATACCAAAATAAAGATCAAATAAAAGTTATCTTCTAAACAGATAGCAAAATCTGTTTCATCCAGTTTTAATCCATGAAATTCAATGTTACTAATTAAAAAAATGACAAGGTGAAAATACTGATTTTTACTTAATTGTAATACCGTATTTATATAGTGAAAAAAGCAGTAGGTGGAGGTTAGAACCTGAAGAATAACTTAGAATAACTTAGATTTCTTTGTCCTTAATGGTTGCAAAACATCTCTCTCTGCAGCTCATTAGGAACTGAAGGTGCTCAGCTTCCTTTTTGTGTTGTGTCATTTGACTGAGGCTAATTCCAAGCCCCAGGCTGCAGTGGGAGTAGCTGGCTCTGCGTACACAGCCAGAGAGAGTGAGTGGCTGAAGACATAACAGAGGGCAGCATTGCCTTTTAGATGTGTGCCTGCACAAGGAGCAAGGCAAGTAAAATAGCCAATGACTTTTTTCCATGCTTGTTGAAAGCATGGGTCTAGTTAATGCCTGATGATCCCATCTTTCTAGTGGCAGGCAAGGGCAGCCACCTTTTCCATGGCAGGAGCCCTGGTGTGGCATGGGAAGCCTGTTTGGAAGGTGGGGCTCAGCATCTGGCCAGGTTGGAGGGGAGAGGTATGTCCAGAGTCTCCCTCATCTCTCGTGATGTGGTGGTACATTCTTCAGCATAGAAGTTGTGAGTTACTGGTTGCATCAGTTACTGTTGGGATCAGATTTATGGACTTAAATTAATTTTATTCTCCCAGATATTTCTGTGTGTGGCAGATGTTTGAATAACCTCTGGGCAGATGGTAGGGTTTGGTGATATTCTTATATAGGCTATCTCCAAAAGTTTTATAAAGGATGTCTTTTCCTTATTTCTGACTATCAGCACTTCACCCAGCATTCCCACAGGGCAGGCAGTGCTTGTCTTTAAGGGATGGGGAGGGCAAAATTTGGAACAGTTAAATGTCTCATCCAAGGATTCACAGGTGACCCAGAGTCCAAAAAGGAATGTGTACATTGAAAGACTGAAATTCAAATTCAGATTCCTTCCAAAACTTGAAAAGCATTTAGATTCACCTTCACTAAGGAAGCATGGAGTGATCCCGAGTGCACATGGCAATTTCTCACTGGCTTTCCCCAAGTCAGCCTAAAATGGGAGCTGCTGCTGATTTCCAATCATTTAGTTATGGATGATCACAAATGATCTGAACATGAGACAACCTACAGACCCATTTCAGTGATTGCCTGTGGCAGCTCCATAATGCCCAGGAGTCTGATTAGTAGCTCACAGAGCACTGATCCTTTGCAAAAGACGGCAATTTTCAAGAAGATGCAAAAAAACGTTGCCACCCCACACAGCAAGGCAGCACCTGCACAGTCCTATATCTTTACCACAGTATCAGTGTGTCCTCTAATTCCCTCTCATTTATCAACACTGAAGTCCTTTCTCTGGCACTTAAGGCCCCTTCAGCTAATATATACTTATACATACATACATATATATATATGTGTGTATGTACCCTGTTACACTTTATTTTTGCCAATTACTACATTCCTGGAGGGTGACACGCTCAGTCTGACAGAGAACAGGAGCCAAGAACACAACACAAGTTCTACACTAATATGTGCCTGTTTAAGCTGGGGACACAGGGCTGAGGTTGCCAATTACAGAGTGGGTGTAGCTCATAGCAAATGATTGCAACCATCCATCCTGTTTTACAGGGGATACCGAACACCAGGAGCATTTACATTTGACTATTACCCGCCTGGGGCCCATTTCCCATGTCAAACCAGAGGTGTGTACCCCAACACTGACCTTCCCAGCCCTCCGGGGTTATTCTCTGTCAAGGTAATAGATGGCACCTGTCAGCTGCTGACTTTGCTTCCAGCTCATTGCTCCTGGAGAGCAGCACTGCCTGTTCAGGTCACCTTAGGAGAACTGAACACAGAAAGCAAAATCTGGTTTGGTTTGATGAGTTAAGTTACAGTAGGACAACAACGAAGCTCTTGCTTACACTGCCAACCCTCGGCTAAGAGGAGAGAACAGCCCAGAGTGCAGCAGCACAGCAGCCACTTGGCCATGGGTGGAGCAAAGACTCTTATCTCCAGATAAAATAGAAGTGGCCAGTACCAGGAACTGTGTGTTAACAGACTTTGTGAGTCAAATCTGTGTACACTGAAACATATTCAGAAATGTTCCCTTTCAAGCAAATACCCTTGTATTCACTCTCTAAATATGTGTCAGTCATCAAAAAATGAAGCCCAGAGGCCCACCCTGAGCAAGGCAGCATCGTCCAGACAAGCATTGCCAGAATATTTAGGAATTGCTTCTGTTGGCCTGAAACCTAATTAAAAAACTTCCTACGGAATTCCATGTTTCACTTGACAAAGCTCAGCAGCATTTCAACAGCTTTGTCTTCCTGAAATATGCTAAATCTGTAATTGTTTGAAGACACCAAACCCAGCATAACCCAGTGATTTATAAAGCTCTCTAGTTCAGTATCACAGCTGATGGCTGGGGATGAAGAGAAGTGTGTAGTTAAAGATTCAAACAAGTACAGCGAAAGAGCTGCTTTAAGCCTTTAAATCCATCATTAGGTTGATTTTCAAATGCACAGTACAGTTTTCCTGCCTGTTGCACAATTGTGGTCTAAAAAAAAATATTTATAAGCTTTTCTGCCTAAAAGTAAATTCATGAACTCACTGCTATTTTTAAACTTGCAGAGAGTGAAAGACTGTAAAGGTACCAATAATATAAACTCTTCTGAGGAGAGCACCATGGCTTGTCACCTCAAATTAGCTTGGACAGAAATACACCTAATCCTCTGCATCCAATTCCCAGAATCAGCACAGCTTGTTATCAAAAAGCACAATTCCATTTTCTTGTAAAGGGTTTGGACTGGTCTTTTTTTATTGTCCTTCTTCCTTTTAACCATTCAAAAGCCAGCATTTCCTAGAGCAAAATCCCTGCCCAACAGGCTGTCTGCTTTCTGGGGGAGAAAAAAAAAGGAAAAGCACTGAAATGAGATAGAGCAGAACATTGATTGCCAGGAGATCAGAGAGCTGCAGGCCAGGCATCAGCACTTCGAGCACTTCACCCTGGCTGTGCTGGGGGAGCTGCTCAGAGAAGAGGGCTGGGAGATCTGGTGCAGAGGGTGTCTTGGGACAGCAGTTAATGCCCATTTTAAATATACCCCCTCTGGGGCTGCAATGGCTGGGACGGATATTCTAACATTTTCCACATTTCTGGACTATTGCAGCTGAGGTAACTTGAACATTTTAGATTGCTAAAAAATGTGGCAGTCAGTTAATTCAGCAGGATGTTGTTGAGAACATGCAGAATGCTAGACCTCTGCCATCTGATCTGGCCTGTTTGACAGACACAGACGATGTAAGAAGCTTTTTTATCTTGTGTTGCTTTAGGAAGCTGATGCCTGCTGTAGGCAAAGGGATTTGTTTGTGTACAACACATTGCAATAGAACTGTAACACCTGTACCCACACCAGTGTGTATTTAGTTACCAAATTCCATGTGAAATCACTGTGAATGTAAGCACCTGGATAAATTTGTGGATCTGGCTCAGGCCTTTTGTGTTGCTGGTAACACTCCTCTGGTCTTCCCTGCCTTATGTCCTGAGAAAAGCATAAAAAAACAGAGAAGCAGCTGCTGGTGATGCTTCCCCAGACCTCCTGGGGATGCTGGTGTAGCATCCATGTAACCTGGAATTGGGCTGTCTTGGATTGTGCTGGACCACGATGATGGAAGTATTGGAGGGAGTTTTGTCAAAGAAGCAGAGCAATGGTTCTGCAGCAGTTGAGGTGTTATTACAAATGGTAAGTTTTAACCCTTTGTGTGCAGGTGAGCTGAACACCACGAGTGCCCTGGCTGATGCAGGCTAAAGAATGACTTTCTAACAGAAAGTGCTACCATCAAAGAATCCATTTATGTGCTGTGGCTCAGGTGTGAAAACCAAAGCAAGCTCTCCACTGCATGATAAATCACAGTAAAATGGTTCTGTCTTTGTATCATTGCTGTTTCTTTGGATTTGCATTGGCTGCATCACTGTTTCCCTGCATATGGTTAACTCTCCTTGTTATGTCTTTTTTTCCCCTCCCATTTTCTTTTTCATGTGGCTTCAGAATTGAAGCTAATCAAGCAAAAAAAAAAAAAAGAAAAGGAAATTTGCAGTGAGGATCTGGGGATTAAACTGTCTGTCAACCTTATCAGAGGGAAAGGTTTTTTTTCTAATCATTGTTTGCATTTTCATAGGTTAACAATTTTTGAAACTGTTAAATGATATTGTTCCTTCAGTTTGGCAGCATTTGTTGCACTTGTCTACAATGAAAAATGCTTTCAGCTTAAGAGTGCATGGAACTGTATAATTTGTATGGTGCCTGCCTTAACAGGTATGATAATGTAATTTTAGGATTACTCTGCCAAATTAAAACCTGGCATAAAATTCATGCAATTGGGCTGAACTCTAGACTTTCCAGCATCTCCTGCTGCCTCTGAAATGGAGGGTTCAGGTGGATTGATGTTAAAAGGATGTGTTTCATGCTTTCAAACACACCGGTTCGTGCTGTCAAATGAATACAAGGTGATCTCATTTTTTACTTTAAAAAAAAAGCTGGTTTTTAATTCTCACTGTTTCAGGGAAATGCTTGGACAGAAGAGGCCTCAGTGCTGACCTCAGCTGCTCCCTACTTCATGTAGGGAGGAATTGCTGCGAATCTCTTTGCTTTTGGCATCTTCCAGTTTAGAAAAGAGACTAAAGCAGCCTGTGTGTCTGAGCATTGCTTTGCCTGCCCAGGTTTCACCTGGCTGTGAATCCTTTTCGTTTTAACTCACGTAACCAGTGGAGGGAATTGAGAAGCTCTTTCTGTGTCCAGGCTCTGCAGCTCGGCTGCCCTCTGAAGGAACCTGAGTTTAGTGAGATTGTGTGGCCTTTTTCTTGGGGAGGCGGAATAATATTTGTATATGCCATTAATTATTAATTAATGGTTGTATAGCTCGTTTTGCCTCAGCTGCCCTTCTCCTGGCATGCGTGCCAAGGGGTCTCTGGTGGCAGCTGGAGCCTGGCTCTGCCCGCTGACAGCCAGCTTCCCAGCACTGCTCCAGCACCAGCTCCTCCAGGGGGGATGTGATAGGGCATTTTCCTTGAGAAACTCTGGATTCCTGGAAGCTGAGCAGTGCCTTGGAAATGCTGCAGTTCGTTAAGGTGAGCAAGTTAATGTGAAGTGAACCAAGAGCAACTGCTTGCTTAGTGCCTTTCTTAATGAGACTTTTCCTTTTGATTCCCAGGAGCTTCCTACTGGGAGAAGGTTACTTGTTTACTTGATTTTAATTCTCAGGAAAAATGATAAGACACTTCCTTTCCTGCTTTGTTAATGATCTCATTAGAGTTGTCTTAATTGTTTTCATTACATTGAGTATGGCAGCACAATAATGTGATGAAGTTGTGGAGCAGAGGATCATCAATCCTGAATAAAAAAACAGTGCGGAAGACCAGCTGAGATAAACCTAAGCACTTGTTTTGTCCTGCTTTTGATTTGCTTGTGGCAGGCAACCAAAGTTATTCATCAACTGACCCTGTAGCCTGGCGGCTTTGTTACATATTGCTGTTCAAATTTTTTTGGAAGCACTTGTTATCCTTCAGTGATCAAGTAGGCAGTGAGTTTGCAAAGTGGAGGGAAGTAATGGAAAATGAAACTGTCAGCAGCCTGTACATCGTGGGAGCAGCTGGGAAAGCAATCGCTCAGATGACTTCATCTCAAAATCACATGAATCTTAATAGCGTGTGGGGTGTAACCTTTGAAGAACAACTGTCTAATTCAGTTGTACACAGCAATTTGCTTCAGACAGGCTAATAAAAGCAGTGGGGCAGCCCAGCCTGGCACAGTTACATCCCTGTCACGCCTTCCCTCAAGGCAGCAGGGTTTTGCAGCTGTGCAAACACATCCCATCGGTGGGGAACCCACTGATCCGTGGTCAGTGGCTGTGGCCCATTGCAGGCCAGCCTGTGCCCCCAGCCCTGCTCCCTCATGTGTGCCTACAGCCAGGCTGTGTCCTGCACATTTCCTGTGTGTGGCCATATCCTTGCTCCTGGCTGGATCCCTGGGCCAGACTGGCTGGTGCTGCAGAACCCCAGGCACCAAGCAGTGTCCCCCCACTCCATGAGGGCCCATGGCACAGGTACCCACCGTGCTGCCCACAGGCCCCTCTCATCAGCTGCCTCCCCTTGCCCAGCTGGGCTCCTCCTCACCTCTGCACCCACAGAGCACTTGCTGCAACAATTCTGCTTTGTAAACTACCCTATAATTCCCAGGCTCTCACAAGGAAAAAGAAAAAAGCCACAGGCTTGTATGGGCATCCCCCAAGAATCAGATTGCTTTGTAAAATTCTCAGAAGTGCAGTTGGGCTCTTTTTGCTCTTTTCCTCCCCAAACACAGAGTACTGATTCTGTGCCAGAGATGATGTAAAACTCCTACTGGGTGGCCTTTGCTATAATGTTCAATAAGTGATATGTTCTTGAAGCCTGTATGAAATGCTGAAAAGCTTCCAATTCTATAAGCAGACAGCCCCCAGAAAGAAAGAATGGCTTAAAACCTGGTTCAGGGACTTATCTGTCAGCACCACTGATGTGACTGGTGTTGAATTAACACGAGCTTTTCATTCTGCCCCTTTTCATTCTGCAGGTTAACGTCATGTATCCAGCTGGGACTGTTCTGTTGGTGTCCGTCACGGTCACCGTCTGCATCCCTACAAAAAGCTGTTTTCAGTTCACTGTGATTTTAGGAGGCAGGTCACCCCCCCAGTTGAGAACTGACCTGTAGCAGATAGATTAGAGTGGTTGTACATTGCT